ATTAAAGTAGGGATGATTAACCTGACTGGCAGTGTCGCTCTCCCTCTCGCGCTCTCTCTCCCTCTCCCTTTCTCTCTCTCCCTCCCTCCTGCTCCAATCAGTCTTTTTCTCTCACTCTCTCTCTCCTTCTCGGTGTGTCTCTGTCTCTCCCTCTCTCCTCCCTCTCTCTTCCTCTCAGTCTCTCTCTCTCTCCCTCCCTCGTTTGCGCTCTCTCTCTCTCTCTCTCTCTCTCTCTCTCTCTCTCTCTCTCTCTCTCTCTCTCTCTCTGTCTCTTGCTCTACTGTTTTTTTTTCCCTCTCTCTCTCCTAAACGTGGTCTGCTTGCTGATGGCAGAATGGCACTCGGAGATTTGTGCATTGTGTCTGGTTTCCTACGGGCAGGCTGACCCAGTGCCTCCAGGGACTTATCAATAGACCACTCAGAAGAGACACAGACAGGAGAGAGGAGGAGGGGTGGGGGGAGAGAGAGAGAATCAATATCAAGAATAGAAGGAGCTCCGAAGCCATTTTTTTTTTAAAGAAGTATCGGGACTTGGGAGAGGGTGACAAAGAAGGTTTTTCAAAGAGGCAGTGGAGGAGGTTCTAATAAATTTGGAAGGAAACAGTTCCCTGTCTTGGGAAAAGGAGAACTCCTGACTGATTAGCATTCACACCAGGTATGAGATGTTCTACCCCTTATCACTGTGTCGCAACCGAGGTGGAAAGGTTTTTTTTTTTTTTAAGGAGACTGAGGGAGCATGTATTTTGCTGTGTTTGTTGTTGGGGGGTAAGAGGGGCGGCGTGAGAAAGCTGTGGGCATTTGTGTTTGGGAGCAGGGAGAATGGAAGCAGTACACGGGGGTGGGAGAGAGTATGGAGTGTGTTACTGTCTTCTCTGTCTTTGTGCACCCCTGGGGGGTACCCAAGTTCATTTCTAGCAGGTGGATTTAGACGGGAGTTACTTAACGCTTGACCGCCAGTTTTGAAAAAAAAAAAAAAGAAAGAAAAAGAAAAAACGCTGCTTCCTAGGGTCTATTAAAAGGAAGCTCCAATTTCTCTTCTCTCTCTCTCTCTCTCTCTCTCTCTCTCTCTCTCTCTCTCTCTCTCTCTCTCTCTCTCTCTCTCTCTCTCTCTCTCTCTCCTTCCCTCCTCCCTCCCTCCCTCTCTCCCTCTCCCCATCCCTCTTCCCCTCTCTTCTTTTTTTCCTCTTCTAACCAGACAGCGGGAGGGTTCCTGGCTCCCAGCCAGCCCAAAAGCCTCTAAGTGTTTTGCACTTGTTTCAGGGAGTAGCTGCCCGGGGATTTTTCAGCATTTTCACTGGAGAACAAAGAGTTCTTTACAAAGGGAGGGGGGGGGCTTAATGTCTGATATATGTTTTTCTATTTTTATTAGTTTTTTTGCCTGAAAAAAAGAGAGACAGGAACAGAACATTACTCTATAAAGACACAAAGACATTCAAAAGAAACCTAGTTATCTTTTCTCCCCATCACCCCTGCATATATATACATGAAAAATTAAAAGGAATGACTAATTAAGTTGGCTGTGTTGCTCTTTTCTCCTCTTCCAATCTTTCTAAATTCAACTGTTCCTCTGCTCACTCTGCTGTTCTTCCTACTCCCAGTAAAAGTTGCCCAGGATGCACCCTCTCTTGGCATGTCTCTACCATTTTTGTGTCCCTGGAATCTTGTAGGAGAAACAGCAAGAGCCCATCAAATAATCAATTTAGTGGCTAGAACATCCTCTACTTTTGCCACTTGGGTAAAAAGTTAATTATGGGATTTGAGCTCCCCAAATACCAATGGGGTACATCAGTTCATTTGATCTCGCAAGTTTTTGCATCCATCTGCTGAAAAGGCGTCACTGTGTCACTTGTCAGTTAAAAGAGAAGGTAGTAAGGGGTAGGTAGTTACCTTCTATATTTTGTTTCTATGATATAAATGACCAAACCACCAGAGACATTACTTGTCTATGATATATTAGTTCAAGAAAAATATAACCTAGACAGAGGTTTTTCAACAATTCTGATTGCCACGTAGCTTTGTATTCTGTTTGATGTTTTGCCTGTGCGTGTGTATTTCCACTATGAATTTGTGTTTGTAGCAAACATTCCAGAATTCTTATCATTTTCATATTAATCCTCCAGCAAAAGAAAAATCAGACTGTAAACTGTATGTGCAAAGTGTAGTAAACAGTATTATCTTTTAATACTTGCTGTACATTTATATTTTTATACTAATATCCTTGAATTGTAATCCCAAGGAAATGCTTTCTTTCCAAAAGTTTTACTTTGTAATGCATTTATATTTTGCTTGCTGCTTGGAAATCTCTGGAAGGCACATAATGGACACTAAACTGAGCAAAGGGTAAATTTCCACAAGCGCCTCAAAAACCGAAACCCCAGATTAGCTGAGCAGCTAACTGCACAGAGCTGTGGCTCAGAGGAAGCAGCTACAACAGTTGCTCACGAGTCAGAAACTCTTTCCTTCTTTCTTCCCCCCATTTATGGGAAAATATAGTCTATTCATTATCCCTGGGAGGGGAAACTATAAGAAATACTACATTTGTATACACTTTCCCATATTTATGAAATGTGTGTCTATCTGTGTTTCTTAAGGGCACAGTGTTTATGGGGCAGAGGGCAACGCCTCACTAGTCAGCCCTCCCGGCTGGGAGGTCCGAGTGCCTTGTGTTTGAAGTAACTTGATAACAAGGAGTCTTTTCGGGAGCCCTTCTCTGTGTATGCTCCTTCAGTAATGACCCTCAAATTAAACGTGGCACTGGGTGGCCGAGCTAGCACTTGACCTCACGGAAAGATACTAGAAGTAGGGGAAGTTTGGGCAAATCCAAAATTTCTAAGCTAGGTCACTTGTTACAGTTACATGTTTTCTTGAGGAAAATTCTTGAATTACACTTATGTCCATATTTTTGTAGAATTTGTGATGCTTTTAATAGTGCTTGAGGAGTAAACGATCCTAAAATGAAAGTAAGCTATCAAAAATAAAAGAAACTAAGTCTTTAAAAAGTTTCAGATTGAAAGCAAGAGGTTTGGGGATTTTTTTCCTCCCCCCCCCCCACTTGGTTTCTTTCTGGGTTTTTTTCTTTTCTTTTCTTTTTTCCTCCTGAACCCTTTTGTTGCTGCAGCCGTTGCACCTACATATTTTGGTTTGTGTGTGTCTCCCTTCTCCCCACCCTTCCCCTCTCCCTCTCTGGTTTAGATGTGACCAGAGTGTTTTCTCAGAGGGACAGAGGGTTAGGAAGAGGATCTTGCTGAAAGCAGCAGTGCTCCCCTTGATCCAAGCAGGCAGCTCGCACCAGTTAGCTGTGCCGTGAGAGTACAGGGAAAGGTGATAGCTGTCATTCTAGGATTCTTGGTAGATCTGACCTGAGAGTAACACATTCACAGTCGAGGAGAAAGGGGAAAAAACAGAGGAGGAGGAAAGAAAAGCTCTTTGAGCTGGAATACACTGGCCCTTTCTTCCTGGAGGCAATCCGCTCTGGTTCTTGGCGACGTGTCCTGCACTATCAGATATCATATGACTTTTTATTTAGATTTCTTTTTGGAGAATGGCCTGTTAGGACTCTGTTTGTTTTCTTTTATTTAATTTCCTTCTCCCTTCACCCGCTAGTTTTGTGTATGTGTGTCAGAGTGTGTGCACGCATGCATGTGTGTGCAATTTTTATCTTTGTTTTTGTTCTATTGATCTGATGCTTTATTTAAGGACAAAGCTTTAATTATTTCAGTATAGTGGTTTAATCACTTGCCAAAAAGAAACCTCATTCTGGGCTTTTTTGGGGGGTCCATTTTTAAACACATCCATTAACACAGGAGACTGCAGCTGCTAAATGCCTGCTGGTCAGACCTTGGGCCACTCCCTCACCTCCATGTTCCCCTCCTCCTCAGCAGCCTGCCCTGCAGTGGGAGTTAGGAAACACCTGTGCGGAGTTGGGAGGGAAATAAAAGTAGAGGCAACTTCTCCAAATCCGCACTCCTAGTTTCACTTTAATAAACTTTTTTTCAATCCTCGAATTTTTTTTCCCCCGGCACTCTCTGTTGAGCTTGCAAACATCAGAGATAGTTAAGGATAGGTCTGTGAAGCTTTTGTGAGGCCAGCTGAGCACCACTGGAAAGTGGAGCAGGAGTTGCAATCCATTCAGAGACTTACGAATTAAGTAAGAGGTTTAAAGAAGGTCTTTGAGATCCGTGGGCTGTTCATTCTGGGTTTGGTGAAAGATGATAAATGGGATATTTAAGGTATTCAAGGCAGAGAAGGAGAAATGCCCAAATAGGAGAGAGGCAGGCATTCCTGCTTCGATTAGTACTTTTAAAACCTTAGCTCAATCAAATTTTTTTTGTGCTTATCTCAAAATTTCACTGACTAATGTGTGATCGGCTACCTTTCCACACTTGCTATGAAAAGCAGTTATACTGACAGTTATTGCTGGATTTACTCTAAAATTTGATGCATTAATTGTTTAGTTTTGAAGACTTCAGATTTTAGTTAGAAAAAGAGCATAACTTCTCTCGATATGCATAAGGTAGTCTATACATTATTCTTGCCATATAGAATATACTAGATCCTGATTGTGTGTGGATGTATGTGTGTGTGTTATAGCACACAAGACTGCCTTAAAGGCTCAAGTGACCGCTACATGCTTTAGACCTGTAGTTTTTAGTTTCTTGTTACTTTCTTTGAAATTGTTTTCATGAACCTTTAATGTGCAATGTCTTTTCATAACCAATGGTGAATTTTGTTGAAACTTGAAGAGAAATTTATTCCACCCCTTTAAGAGTACCCAAAAGGGAAGGGAGAACTATTCTCCATCGGCTCAAAAAAAATTTTTTAAGAAACCTTTTTCCTCCAACGGAGAACTCCAAAACAGCTCTGTCTCAGAACGTTAAACTTGGCATGGATAAGAAATGTGAGTTTTGCTTTGTTTGAGGAAATTTGTTTTTGAGACAACAATGTTATAAATATTTTTAAATTGCCTGCTGAGCATGCGCTGTCTCTGACTTTATTCATAGTTTTAAATACACACCAAAGTGCAGTCTTCTGAATGGCCACAGGTAAGACTGTCGATTTGTGTGATCCTTCTCTGAGGCACCTTCAGTGAGTCTACTCAGTTTTCCAGAAGGGAAAGGGGCAAGAACTGAGTTCAGACCTGGATGCCCTTCTAACTATCATAGAGAAAAGTGAACTACCCACTAAGACTTGCACCCTGTACTTAGGGTAAGTACTATTCAACTTCTTTCCTATGCAAGTTGCCTGCCTTAACTTTCCGGCTTACTGCTAGTAGAATAAATGGAGGAAAAAATGAACTTAATGAGGAATTTGACTGAAACAGAAGATTTGCAGATTTTTAGGGGCATCTATTGTGCATAAATTTAGGGATGCATGAATTTGCCAGTAAAATGCTGGAAGATCAGTGCTTACAGAGCAGAGATGTGCTAGTCTGAACATGTCTGATCTCATCTGGAATCGAAAGCTAAATCTAGGTGGGCCTGTAACAATACCAGAAAAGGAATACATGTATCTTTTGTGCAAGCTTTTTTTTTCTTTAAGCCAGTCTTCCAAAGGCAAATGACAAAAGAAGTAGATTGTCCTCTCGTTTACTTAGTCCTCTACTTTCCTTCTGCAGAGACATGCCCAGGTGTTCTTAGTTGTTGCTTGTTGTCTTTGCTGCTGAAGCACAGTGTCTCCTGTCACTAATGGTAACACTTCCCATTTTCCAGAAAGCTTTATCTCCATAGCTCGGTTTGATGTTGCTTCATGTAGTCATTTCTCTCAGGTCTGCAGTGTCCTTCTCAAGCTCTGCAGCTCTGATTGATTCTTGGTTGGATGTAGCTCTTCAGTAGCTGTTTGTTATAGTTATGGTAGAGACTTTTTCATTTTGGGGGCTTTTATAACTATCCAAACAAGTTACCCTCTAAGATGAAATTTCTCATACTTATTTGTGTCTCAGAACTGAACTTGTCTTCAAAAGATTTTTTAAAAATCTAGTTGGCCATTTGGGTTTTGTTGTTATTGTTTTCTTTTTGTATTTTTGTTTTATGATTTTTAAATATTCTAATAAATGTAAGTGATCAGGTTTTTTAACAAAATACATTTTGCTATGCAATGCTTTTCTAATTCTGTTTTCTTTATATGGTTTAAGGTCAAATTCAAAAATTCAGAGTGTTAAAAAGAAATATTAACAAGCCTATAAGTAGCCTACTGATAGTCAATACCCAATTTGAAATAATTCAGAGTTTTGCTTTTCATTCCTCATATTACCTTTCACTGCCAAACAACATTAATTTATGCAGAGGTGTGTGTGTGTGTGTGTGTGTGTGTATTGTGTGTATGTATAGTATGTGTGTGTATTCAGGTATATGTAAATACATATGCATACATATTTGCATATACAGCAAAAAATACACGAAGCCACTTAACATTTATATTTATTTTATTTTTATATAAAAATAGTGAGCTTTTGTTATTTTATCATTTTTCTGTAATTTAAAAATCAATAAACTGTTGCCTCTATCTGATTATTATTATCATCCATATATGCTTCTAAACATCTGTTTATATTCTTATAAGTTACCTTAATTTCTATTTCATAGGTCTTGCACACTCTTTCATTTTATGCAGATGTATTAATGCTGAAGTTTATTCAGATACCACTTGCTTTATTCCCTATCTGTTAGTGTGTTAACAAGTGGTTTTCTGTTTTGTTTTTATTTTGATTTTTCTTTTATTCCTTTCTAACTTAGAGAGAATAAATGTCTCTATATGTCACTAGTATTCTGAGAAGGAAACTTTTAAACTTGTGATCTCATAGATCTTAGATCTCTTAGATCTTTCAAACAAACAGGAGATATCATCTTTACCTTGCATTTCGTTGGTCCATTTGTCCAGGCTGTACCATCAACAACCCTGAAAAAAATAATGATAATAAGTATGACATGATAACTTTTCTGATCATAGAACTAGGAACTACCAACAAAAATTGTGGCATATGTAGGGAAATGCCAAGACCTTTTCCAATAAAATCAGCTGTTTATGCTTTTTTTTCTTTTTAATTTTGTTTGTGACTTTTTGGCTTGCTGAAGCATTTCCCTGTAATCTTAGGAAGCCACAACAACACTGCAGCCAAGGAGAGCAAGGAGCTGGGGCCTGTAGCCTTGCTCAGAAATCAGACAAGGTGAGGAAAGTAAGGAAGCTACTCTTTTTTTTTTTTTTTTTTTTTTCATTTTCCTAGTTTATTCAAGCTGCCAGGGACAGAGTTTTTCTCCGTGCATGTCTCCTTCACCTAACTCAGGCTTTTCCTTCAATGCCAGTGAGTTTCTGTTGCTTCCAAGAGATGGTTAACATAGCAAAGTATCCAGTTTTTGTTTTATATTGGAACATGGAAAGCTTTGAAAACTGGGGAGGACAAAGGAAAGAGGGCTTAGGGCATCTGGGAAATATCCAAAAGAGCATTAGGCTCACAACTAGTTGTGAAGATGGTCGTGTCTGCAACTTAGCTGTTCTCTCTAGGGCCTCTAAGTGTTAATGTAATGAAGGGATAACTTAGCTATAGGGTTCAAACTGTGATCTAACTGATTCAGTAGATGGAGCTCTTCCCCCTAAGTCTGTATTTAAATTAACATCCCACTGCAGTTAGTGGGACTCTCTGTTTTAAGGTGTATCATGATACACACATAAAACCAAAGCCTATGTAGCTGGAGGAAGAGATTCCCTGGCACTTTTTAAAGACATAAAGCATTTGTTCGAAAACACAAACTGCAGGGGAGCAGTAAGGATAGGGTGGGAAGTGGGGTTTATTTATCTAAATTTCTCCTTGTGGTTCTTGATACTCCTAAGTGTGAAGTTAAAGCCTAACAGTTTTCATACAAGGGACTATAAACCTAGAAAACTATATAGCATGTATGGTATTTAGCTGTGTTCGTGACAAGCCTTTCAAGCTATGTGAACTGTACAGCTCTCCTTTCATTTGACTCGCAAAGGAATCTTAATGCTGTAATGCAATTGTTTCATCTAGTTAAGTCTAGAGAATCTGGCTGAAATGCAACAAATTCTGAATTGTGATAGCACCAAGGATGGCAAGGCAGACATGTGAGGTGCCTTTATAGGAGCAAAAATACCTTCAACAATGACTGAAAAGAGATCTTTCGTGTCTGTTTTAATATAGAAAGAAATACTTGTTTATTTCTTTTTAAATTGATCAAGATGAGTAATTGTCCTAGCATTCTTGTCAGTTTGCATTTCTCTTCAGCACCAATAATAAGTTTGATCATTGCCCTTCCCTGGTGCCTGGAGGGAAAATATATGTATGCAAGATGTAATAAGTTCTCTTCCTTGGTCTATGTCTTCCCACAGACTGGAGGTGTTACGGAGTATCTCTTGTTAAATCTTGATAAGATCATTTTGCCAAAATAGAACTGGCATTGGCCTTACTACCAAAAGAAATAGCATTTTTAGAGGACTTGGATTTCCTTTGCACACCACGTGTCTGAGTCTGATACACTCCAGGAAAATAGAGAGGATGAGACAAAATTCTTCCTAAGCAGCCGCTGTAGGCCAAACACTGAAACAGTGCCAACCCGGACCAATCAGGCCGGCTTCTCAGAAGATGCTTGCTTTGCTGAGCACTTCTGTGGAGAGAAGAGGGAGGAAGCCCTTGAAACTGCATTCAGATGAATGAGTTTTCACTAATTTCAGTAAAGTCCGTGCTAGTGAATTCAATAACTTTGCTTCTGTAAAGTAGAACGTCTGAGTGTCCTGGGCCAGCTGAGGCTCCCCAAGTGTTGTTCTCCCACATCTTTTGAACAAAAGTATCTTTCTGAATTTAAGCAAGTGAAAAACTTCTCACAGAGAGCAAAGAGTAAAATTAATGGAAACTCAAAATCAATTCCAAACCCATTTCTGGCATGATGAGAATAACATTTGTGCTGTGTTTAAAGAAGTTTAAAACAAGAAAATGATAAAAATGATCAATACACTTAAAGCCAAAAATAACCAGGAGGGAACAACCTGCAAACCATTCCCAATCCTGAAACTCTACACTTCAGATTAAATGTGAAAATAAATGGATATATCTTTTATAAGACAGCACTTGGAGCCTTATAACATAAACAGCAATGATGAGAGGCCAGCTATCCAATGTTCTAGTTAAGCTACATTTTTAGAGTTTAGGGTAAACATTTCTGGAGCTAAACTTGTGCACTTATTTATATGCATACACATGCCATGACCATAAAAAGAGCAAAAGTTAAAAGACACGTGCATTACCTGTGAAGGACATTGCCACTCTATTGTCTTTATACTATAAAAAGGAAAACAAAAATAATCAGGCTTTAAGTAAAGCAAAGGAATGTTTAGGCAACATCAGAAAATCAGAAAATCAGTGAATAGACAGTATGGATCAGATTAAATATTCCTTTTTTAAAAATTTAGGATCTTCCTTAATTTCATTGACTTCAGTGCATGCATACATACATACATACATATTATACATGTTTTACATCTATTGCTTTAATAGATTACTCTGAAGGACCAAGTTAACATTAAGAAATTTTGAACCTGTGGATTCAAGGTCAGTGAAATGTCATTCTCTGAATTTACAAAATTCTCTAGTCTTAAGATTTTGCTCCCAATTAGCATCTGTTATCACTGTATGAGAGTCATTTCACTGACAAGGTATTTATTGATCATTTAAAATAATGTATCTACTTGAAACCATCTGAAGAAATTAAAGATGACAAAGTCCAAACATACTTAATTTTGTTGAACTAAGGTGCAGTAGGGATGATGATAATTCTAACAAGCACCATGACGAATGTAACTACAGAGAAGCATGAGTGATTACATCAGTAAGAGTGAATTCAATGAGCAAGGTCAGGATGCTGAGACTCAGAGGCCAGGACAGCGTAGGGACTAATGATTAGTTATTGGAGATATTTAAAGCTTGTGGCTGGGAACAGAATTAACAGATATGGGAAAAAAAGAGTCAATCAATTTTAAAAATGGATAGAGAGGCAGTACTTTTCCTATAGGGTATAATCAAGTACAGAATTCAACTCTTCCAGGGAATTATAGTAACATTATAAGCTTTGGTTGTCCAGGGTGATAATGGTTGTAAAGAGAGAGCTTTTGTGCACATCTGCTTAAAGAGTCATAGGAGTGGAACTGCTAGAACCAGTTGTCATGCTATTGATTGAAACTTAAAAAGCTCAGCTTTAAAT